ACAAATTTTCAATTTCATAAACTTTGTCAACACTTGAACTTTAAATGTTTATGAAAAAAAAATTGTCTTTGTATTTTTAGTATTTTAAATCTGCTATTTTAACAATGTCCAATGTATAAAGAGCCATAATATTAGAGTTTCAAAATTGATCCATCGAATAACATTTTAACGACATTTATAGAAAAGAAAAAGAAAATTTTTAAAAATTTTAAATGTCATAATAGCTCAAAACAATCCAAAATAGTTTGAAAAGTATTTACAGTTATTCGTTTTTGAACTAYAACAAAAAAAGAAAATCTTTCCATGATAAATCGGGTGAACTTCAAACACTCATAAAAAATTATTGTAGTTTTCGCTAAACTTTWATTAAATTGTTGGTGTTTAAATTTAACATTTTATAAATTATTAGGTAACTTAAAGTTTGTAGATTTTGACAAAATTAGAACTACAAAATATTTTTTTTAAATCCATGCCTATGTATTTTAAATATTTTTAAATTGCTAAAAAAACAATTYATGATATGCGATTTTGAATTACATTTTCAARCTTTTAAACTGAGTCTCTTAGCAATGCTGACTGCCAAACCTGGCTGACTTCCTTTATTTATTTATGTTTATAAAACTGAAGCGTTTGTATGTTTGAACCACAGAAACAATTGGTACAATTAAAATTAAATTTATATCAATTGATTAGTTGATTCTTGGAGTGTGATTTTAGCTTTTTTTTCARTATCAAGATTTTAGAAAAGTTAACACAGAAATTTTATGTATGGTCGAAAATATAACAAGTGCCCGTTTCGGTCAAATTAGTTCACAAAGCACGCCGATACCGATTTGACTGTGAAATGAAGTGTACCAAAGCCGAGACACAACGAAAGGTATAACTGATGTGTTGTATGTTTGTTAATTTTTCCCTCGATTTTTCCCGAGCAAAGTCGGGTATAGGTACAACACACTTATTATGTAACTAGTATGTACTTATATAGAATATAAGTACTATATAATATACATATATTTACTACAACWGAAGTGTCTGAAGTAAATGCCGACATAAATTGATAGTGGCTAGGAGGTCCCTAACGACTATATTGGCCAAGTAAATGAGCGGCGGTGGTGACGGAAAWGCCATTCGTACAACTAGTAAGAACCTACGTCGCAACTAGCAATCTAAACGTGCGAACTATTATCTCAAAGGTTGTCCGCCGCCGCCGAAAAGCGCGCTCTCCCCCTCCCCACACTTCCTTTCTAATTCGTCTCCCACCCACCGCGGTCTACAACAAACTGCAGCTGAGGTCGTTGACGACCTGTCACGCTCCGCAATCGTCCATCGCGTGTTTTTTTTTTCGTAATATCGGCGATATTATATTATTATTATTGCGCTCGTCCCCAACGTAACAGTGTTTATTATTATAGTGGTCATAATACTTTTTTATCAACTGCAGCAACGACTCGTACGCCTCGTTCTTCATCTCTTTGTTCTTATAGTCGGGGTCCTTGATCCTCCACAGGCAGGTGCACGTCTTGTACTCTTCGATCAGCTCCGATATCAGTTTCCTCTCCATGGCCACGATCATTTGGACGCCGTTCAGGCCTCGTGTGCCCCACCTTAGTCGTTTATAATCGATCGACGTAACACGCGACGTTCTCAGCAGCGAACACGACGACTACGACCGAATGTCGTGCACGAGTCGTACGGACTACGGTCGTGCGACGACGGCGGTACTACCACGGTCGAGAGTGTGCGCGGCGAACACTGTTACCACCATCGGTCGCCCGCCGACGGGTGTAGACAACGGCGGCGGCCACCGCGACACATGTATACGGACGGTCGGTCGGCCACCGATTTGTCGTCGATACGCGGTTGGCCAACCTGTCGGGCTACGCGATGCGCGTCGGCGGCGATCTGTCACCCGGTACCACCACCTCGCCCTACGCTGCATCATCGCTATGGCTGCACACAGCGCGCGCGCGCACGTGCACACTAACACATATACATACACTCAACCTTGCAGCCGGCCCGGGCACGATTTGCAGTCGGACAGACAATCAAGCGAGGGCTCTCGAAAAAKAAAAATTTTTATTTTTATTATTGTGTAATTTTTGTAATATTTAATGCTATCGTAAATTACCGTACCCGTATAGGTATTTAAAACATACTCAATTTATCACGCCAAACTAAAATACGTTTTTGTGAATGAAAATG